GTAGGTTAAAAGAGACGCGCCAAGAGACAGCGCAGGCCTTCGATGCGGACAACTTCAGCATGAGTTCGCACCGTGCATAGTTTTCGCTTTCTCGCTTCAGCCATCTCCAGCAGCTAAGAAAAACTAAACTATGCCTTGGATGGTTTTGTTCACTTGCTCCTGGCACTGGAAGTACTCGGATGCGTCGCAAAGAAGCCTGTAGAAGATCTCCCGCTGTGTAGCTTTCTTGCCAAGCGTAAGAAGCTGGTAGCAGAGCTCCAGCATTTTCCAAACTATAGAGGAAAAATCAAAAAGAGAAAACCATAGAGAAAAGCAAGCGAAAGGAAGTTACTACCTCGAAAGTATCTCTTCATGCTCCCGGATTTTGTGAAGCTCAGGGTCGAGTCTAGATGCGACAGGAAGATGTTATCGCCTTGCAGTAGCCCCCTTTGCATCAAAACGTTGCTACAATTCCTCCGGACCTGGAGAGAGATTCAACAATCAAGCACTTCGCTGCGTTAAAGGACCTAGGAAAGAAAATCTTGCCATGGAAAGCGGCATAATCCTGGGCCGATGAGAGATCAAAGTGGCCAAGAATCGCCGGACAACGACCTCGATCCTTGCTCTCACCTGCATTCCCGGCTAAGGTCACAAAGATCGATCGGGTATAGCTACCTCTTCTGGAGAGACCACGTCCGCCGTGCTGGACAGCTCGTTCGATTCGAAGGGCGTGAGCCCGTGGCGGCAAATCTCCGACGCCATAAACACTTAAGCCCTAGATTTCAAATTGCGTGTAAAGAATATACCAAGAATCTAGGTATATTCTAGGATATTTATAAGTTCGTTGTGTTTCCTTCTCATGTAATTTATCAACAGCCAATGCAACAAAAAGAATAGAACAACATTATTTTGCAAAGTGGTGCATCCAGTGGTGATGTCGTTAAAGCCAATTTATCAGCAACAGAAGTGAACATAGTGGGGTTCCTAAAATCTTTGGATTGTTGACAGAATTAGTTGTCACAAAAGGCAATGGCATACAGAGCCACTTTCAATGCGATCACATCTTCTTGTAGAAACCTCAAGCATTGACTTTTAAAGTTCATGAGACTTTCAGATCTTCCTTCTAAGTTTCTCTCATGTTTCTAGCCCTTGATTTGATCTTTTGGTGAAAGTGTCTTGCAGGGTGAAATAAAATTCAAGAGGTGAGCACACTGTGAAAAAACATTACACCCTTGAAGCTTGTGGATATGATTTAACCTAATCAATGTTGGATTCCTTGAAACTGGAGAAATACCCCAGTTTAAGCGTTTTTGGTAATCTTGCTAAAAATATAAATTATTAATGGTTATTATTCAAAAAAATTAAAAATTTATTCCATATGTAAAGTCGGTAAATACATGTGTGTATATTCATGTATTACTCTGGCTAGGTAATACACTAATTATAGTACTATAGCATATTAATTGTCCATTCGGGATTGAATGTGGTCTATCCATTCTTATATATAAGCACAATTAATATACCTTATTCTTATATTTTGAGCACTCATATTAGTGGAAATGAGAGGCATTGCAATATATCTCTAAAAGGCAATGTTTTTTAGCAATGCTTTGCTTTAGTGTTTGGGATTGTGTTTTTTGTTCGGGATTGTGATTTTTGTTCTTATTTCTTCATTTTTTATTAGATTTAGATTTTTATTAGCTTTTTGTAAGATTTAGAATTCTAACTATTGTTGTCCTTAAATCTACTCTTTCTTTTGATCTTCATTGCATTATCTTTTTCTACCATGCTACACTATCATCAATTAAAGAATATATCATTTGAAGTTGCTAATGTTACTTTGATAAATCAAACTTTTAATGCTATGAAGTGTAATTATATTGGTGTTATGTCCATCTTTGGTGTGTTACCATCTCCAACTTTTATGAGACATAATTACATAACTTGTTCTCTTCTTGGTGTTTTGCCATCTCATGTTAATGTGGAGCATGATCATGACATCAATTGGCGAGTTATAGAAGATGCAATCAAGTTTTTGAAAAATGTTTAAGGATTAAATTTATGGAAAGACAATGTGTATAAGCTTGAGTGGATTTTAAATTGTGATGATGAGTTTAATTATTATAGAAATAGCTTTAGAGATGAAATGAAGATTTTGCAAGGTAGATGTTAATCCTTTAATTTACCAATTGATCCTTTTTTTTTACCTTTTTTCTTTCCAACCTTTTCTTATTTCTCGGCCTGAGCCACTTTTCTTATGTTCCTAGTGTTCCTTCCTCTTTTGCAATATTTCTTTTTTCTAACACATCAATTATTTTTTACTCTTGTGATTCTCATTTTCAGTCCAGTGTTGAATTGAGTGTTTTCTATCCTCCTTATACTAATCTAGATGTTGATATGTGCATGAAGTTGAGAATTTTGATTTTATTTCATTGACACAGTCTTTAATCAATTCTGATATTAAGTATTCCCATGTTCCAAAAGTGTGAATCACTTTGGCTAAAATTTTAAATTGTGTCCCCACTTGTTAATGTTGTTAAGAGCCTTTATTATTGTTGAGGAGTTTATGTATTCCCTTGAGAGTGTGGATATTTTATTAATTTTCCTATCTCAAATATTGAATTGTGTGTTGAGGAGGTTGAGTGGTATGAATCTTTTGTTTATATTGTGGTGACCAAAATATTTTATGATAGGAAATCCCCTATTTTCCAAGTTTTAAGCATATGTTTCTTTTTTGATTTCTTTATTTCTGTATTGCCAACTAGTGTAACTTCCTCTTTCAATGTTTCTTTATCCACTTTTTCTTTTTCCACAATGGTTTTTCCTCAATTTTTCTCATTTTCTCCTTTTTTCTCTAACATTTCAAGCTTTTTTTCTTCAGAGGAGGGGGTAGAAAGGATGGACAGGAGTTCAGCCTAATGATGGAGAGAACAAGTGGATATAGTAGTGGAACAAGGACAAATAATATGTGGAATGAAGATGAATATAGCAAGTCCAAATGGAATATCCAACTTTAACATAGTGAGGCCGAATAGATGCAATAGTGGAGTGAAGTTGAATATAAATGGCAACGTAAGGACAAGTATAGTGAGTCCAAATAAAGTCAGTACTTTAAAACTTTTTTTCCTTCAAAAAGGGGATAAAAAGGATGTGGAGGATGAATAGAGTGAATGCAACCTCCCATATACAGTGTTAAACAAGGACAAAAGTCGTAAATCTAAGTTAACATAAGTGTTAGATGTTAACCGAAGGGAAGATGTAAAGGTAGGTTTTACTTATAGTTATAAGTCCAAATTAACAATTGTTTCAGAGGATTATTCGCAAGCAAATTTGGAGGCAAGATGCATTATTTGCTACAATAACATTTTATAGATTACAGTGGTTCTCAAAGTCCCTTACTTTGGTTCAAAGTTATACCTTTATGGTTGATTTAAGCATTTGGCAGTTGCATATGGAGTTACAATTGGTGTATTGGGATTTCATAGTCAACTAATGTTTATGTCATGGCTTTGGGTTTTGTTTCAGTCATAATTGTCAACAACTTTATTAGTGGTTTTATAGTAGTTTGTAATCTCTTAGCAAAAGTTCCAAATGTTCCACCTAATTTATTGTCATCTTCTAGAGGGGAGGATAGTATAAAGTTTGTAAATATATGAATGTATATACATGTATTACCTTAGCTAGGTAATACACTAATTATAGTACTATAACATATTAACTGTTCATTTGGGATTAAATCTAGTCCATCCATTCTTGTATATAAGCAGAGGCTATTCCTGTATTCCAAGCACTCACATATATAATTATAAAATTCATTTTAATTAAGGTTGATACATTTTATCAATCATCACAATATGAATAAGATCACTAACCCTTATGATCCAATGTTAGATCTATGTTAATGATAAGGCATATCGAGAAGAGAAAACAGATGATCTAGATCCCTTATTATGTAGTGAGAACATAATTTATATTAATGTTACAATGATAGCATATGAACATATATCTCACTAAACATCTGTGTTGATGACCCTTAAAGCCATCCAGTCACATTATTAAAGGGCAAAGTGTGCAACTGTAGAATGGGCTACAGTGACTAATGGTTTTTATGAGGTGAATATAAAGATATATAAGACTATTTGATTATTAATGAAACCTAATAATGGAAGCACTTTTTTATCAAAAAAATGAAAATTCAGAATTGAGGGAGAACAATTGAGGATTAAAACAAAATGGTCTTGGGGAATGAACATAGCACATGGATTGGTGAGCAAGGGCTGCTGATTTATAACATTCCCAGGTTGCAAGGACTTTGACACAAAGTATTGCCCTATGGATCTGCATGATGGCTTATTATACTAGAGATATATAATCTTTTATACATCCAGAGGGGAGGATGGTTTATAATAAGAGTATAATAAACTAGAGATTCAATCCATGATTTAGCAGAGGTCTTTGATTATGTAGTATCCTAGAAGTGTAAAAAGCTAAAGGAGTGTGCTAATATTTATTTTTATAAACATATTACTAATTTATATTTATATATTTGTTAAGAAACACCACCTCTTGAAACAGATACACAGTCTTTGTGTTTCCTTATGTGTATTTAATCTCTTTCTCCAGTGATGAACAAAACAATTATGCTTGCTTTGCCTATTTTCTCTTCTAGAATGCATCCTTCTCATTTTCTTTCTAGGTGAGGCTATTGAGAATGCTGGACTCAGTCTCACATATGTAAATCAAATCTGAGGAATTTTATACTTTCTTGAGCCTGGAGTTTTAAAGGTCCTTTAACATGATCACCAATACTATTGACATGTGGTTGCTACTCCATACAGGAAAAAAACCATCACAAACATAGATTAGTTGGTGGATATTAAGTGCTTCAATTCGTTGGACAAATAAAAGTCTATCCTTTATTCTCATTTAAAAGCCTAGTAATGCTATCATGTGAAAAAGTATTAGAGATAGCCAAGCATTGAGGTTACTCTCTAGATTCTCTAGCCAAATCTCTTTCGATTAATCATCCCTTGGAAAGAAGAAAAGAAAAATAATGAATAATAATGCTTTAAGTGAATGTGAGGTTTGGAAAAGTAAAAAAAACATGATAGTATTAAATAAAAAATAATATAATAAACAACCACCTTTTATATTGAACACTGTAGGTCCTTGATAAGATATCATGTTCTGCCATAGTAAGAAATATATTTTTCCTTTAATAAAGTAAATTTATTTATAATGTTTTAGAAAATTGAAGCCACTAAACATCGTACCTTTATCAGAATCTAAAATATAAAATTAGAAGTCAATTTTATCAAAACTTTAACTCATTAAATCTCACAATCCTACAAATAAATATCATTTGTACCATATACAGGTTATAGTGTTATAATAAAAACCTTTTAATAATATAAATTTTATTTTATTTTATTTAAAATTTGTTATTCCAAATTATAGTTTTTGAAGAACCTTTATGACTTGAAACAACTAGATCACCAGTATTTTCAAGTGTTAAAATAGCAAATAGTAAACATCCTAAACAATATTTATTAGTTTTCCATATAATATTATCATGATCATCTTTTAAAATTAAATTACCATCATATTGAAGATGTAAAACACAAAAAAAATATAATTTTTCTGAATTTGTAGACCATATACTTTGAGAAAATATAATATTTTCAACTACTAAATTGCAATTATTGAGGGTTGCTCTAAAATTATTATTTGATGATATTAAACTATTACCATCTGTAATATAT